TCCCGGCACTCCGAGATCACCGCTGAGCCACCCAGGCATCCCTTGTTACTCCTTTTTGTAGCCTAAGAAAGTTTGCCCTATTTCCACATCACAAAGATATTTTCCTTTAAAAAACCTTACAATGGGACACCTGGAGTGGCTCAGCGGTTGAGCATCTGCCTTTGGCTCAGGGCAGGATCCTGGAGACCTGGGATCAAGTCCCACATCGGGTCCCCTCAGGGAGCCGGCTTTTCTCTCTGCCTCACTCTCTCTGTCTCTCATAAATAAATAAATAAAATCTTAAAAAATAAATAAACAAAAAGCCTTACATTTTAAAGGTGCCTGAGTGGCTTAGTGGGTTAAGCATCTGACTCTTGGTTTCCTGTCAGGTCATGATTTCAGGGTGGTGGATTTGAGGTTTGGGTTAGGCTCTCAGCTCAGCAGGGAGCAGGCTTGAGGATTCTCTCCTCTGGGCCACCCACCCCACCCCCATTACAAGTTCTCTCTCTCTTCTTTCTCTAAAATAAATAAACTTTTAAAAAATAATCAAAATAACAAAAGCCTTATGTTTTAGTTTTTATTTTTGATAACAGTGGTATAGACTGAAGTTCTTTTTGTCCATATAGAGATCAGTTATTCCAGCACTGTTGAAAAGACTACTTTTTTCTCATTGGGTCACTTTACTGCGTTTGTCAAAAACCAGATGACCATACTTGTTGGAGTTTATTTCTAGAGTCTGTTATTTTATTGTTCTATTTGTTATTTGTTATGCCAGGCCGGCAACTGTCTTCATTATTATAGCTCTGCTTAAAATGCTTAAAGTGCTTCAAAGTTTTTAAGTTCAACATTGCTGTTCTTTTTCAAGGTGGTTTTGGATATGAGATGCAAGCTAGTTAATCCTAAACAAATAACTACACTAAGATTCAACTACTTCCTAAGTAAAATATGGATAGAGTATGCATTTCTCAGTATTAGTGGAATGATTGTGAGATAATCCGTGCAAAGTTTTAAGTATAGGATGAGTTGAAATGACTTTTTCCCATTGGATAGTTTTTCCTGCTTTGTTGAGGATTAATTGAACTTATAGTTTGGAAATAAGATTTATATATATTTTGTTGATTACCACACTTAGTTTTTTTTTTAATACATTAATTTTTTATTGGTGTTCAATTTACCAACATACAGAATAACACCCAGTGCTCATCCCGTCAAGTGTCCCCCTCAGTGCCCATCACCCACTCACCCCCACCCCCCACCCTCCTCCCCTTCCATCACCCCTAGTTCGTTTCCCAGAGTTAGGAGTCTTTATGTTCTGTCTCCCTTTCTGATATTTCCCACACATTTCTTCTCCCTTCCCTTATATTCCCTTTCGCTATTATTTATATTCCCCAAATGAATGAGAACATACACTGTTTGTCCTTCTCCGACTGACTTACTTCACTCAGCGTAATACCCTCCAGTTCCATCCACGTTGAAGCAAATACCACACTTAGTTTTATCAAGATTAACAAAGCATACAGTTGAAACCTGTTTAATTCAATGTCTTAATCACTTCATAACCTGATTTAGCAGCACTATAAAGTTGCTACCACTTTTTGAATGTTTTGTGTATTCTTTGATCAATTTTACATATATGTAAATTATTAAGTATATAGGTATATATTATATATAAGTATATATGTGTGTGTGTATATATTATATATATGTAATTATATATGTGTGATGTGGCAGGTATATATTGTCTTAGGCCAGTAGATCAGCTGCACAGAAATGAAAATATTCTTATAAAACTGTATTTACATATTTGGCCTTCATTGCACTGATATCAAAAATTCAGCCTCAGTCTATTCAATTATCTTCTTTGTCTCTGGGGTTCCATCACTGTACCAAGGGGTTTACACTGTGCCAAAGCATTTGGGGTGATATTTGGTCATTAGAGCCTCATGACCCAAGCTGACATTTGCCAAGAGGTTCTCATTCTTCCCTCTGTTTACACGTTCTTCACCACAGGTCACCACCTCTCTCTCGGTGGAGAATCTTTGGTCTCTTGTCCTCAGTCATCCTGAGATATCTCTACTCTCTTCAGACCTCTAACCCATAAAGAATAAAGGCCATACGTCATAGGGCTTGGCCTCAGGTAGCACAACACAGAGAACAATTTGAAACCGATTCTGTTCATTCCCCAACCAAATCTTCTTTATTCTGTGAATCAAGAAAACAGTGCTCCAACAGGTGGAAATAGAGCACAAGCTCTCACTGGCTACTTTTCTTTTGATGTTTTTGCTCGTGTGCTGAATCACTTTCAACACATTCCACAGCTAGGTATTTTTCAGTTCAAAGTTCTATAAGATTAGGAAACTTGAAAGATCTTTATCAACTTCTCTGCTCCATCTTCCACTGTTTATGGCAAAAGATACTATTTAGTGAACAGCTGAACTTCTAGGAAATGTGATAGGAAAGGAAATTCCATCAATATCTCAAAGTACTGCCCCACTACATATTTATGTCCCTTACTTCTCCTAAGATATCTCTTATGGCCCCAAAGGAAATGCTGTAACTCTCAATTTAGAGATGCAGAAACTGAGTCTTATTGCTACTGGCTAACTCTCCTGAACCCATCTCTAGGTCTTTCCTGCCTCTTTGAATAGAGATCCTCTAAGTCAGTGGTAGCAAACCACTGTACTCTGTGGCTTTGCTGGAGATGGCTACCTGAAGTCTAAAATGAAGACGGATATTATATTTTCTGATTAAATAATAAAAATGAGAATGGAAAAACTCAAAAGCCCAGAAAGACTAAATATATTTTAGTGTTCTAGTACCAAATGTCAAACAGGGTAGAAATATAATACAAAAACATGTACACATTTAATATGAGTATCTTATTATCAAATATATGAGTAGGAACTTCAACCCCTATCCTTGGAAACAAACTAAACCATATCAATTATTTGATAAAGTCACGGGGCTTTTTCTCCCACTTATAAATTAACTGAGTTGTGTTTGCTTGAATGTCAGATTCACATTCTGTTTTAGAATATTAATTCATTTTAATTAAGTACCTGACTTCTATTTGAATTGTTCATCATATCCAATCTTATATAATTACATTTAATGTTATGGATAATTAACCAATGAAAATCGTAGTGGAGAATGGTGTATATTTGGGGATGTATTAGGAGAAATCGATCATAAAATACACAGTTTAATAGAAATGTAGATTCTATGTGGAAAGTATGAGGATTATGAGTGAAATTTTTTATTTTCAAGTTTTTAAATGCTGTGTGAAATCATGATTTTTGTTTTTCTAAAAAAATACAAACATTTCTTTAAAAATATAAAACATATTATATATATATATATATATATATATATATATATTCAAAATCGGACCCATCCAGGGATTTTATAAAGATGTCCAAGAGGACCATAGAGATGAAAGTTTCAAAGTTACTTTGGTGAGTGAAAAAAAAAATTTGAAAATGTCGAATTTACTTCTTCTAAATGCTGAGTCTCCTCCTTCATGTCACTTGAAAGTCTCTAAGTTCAACTTCACCATTGAGAAAGAGCTGATCTTCAGAGATCAAACTATTTGATGCGGTTTTCCCTGCAAAACAACTCTCTGGATCAGTTGCCTCAGAGGAAATGAGTTGCTCTGGATGTTGGTGAATGTGAGCTGAGGGGACTCTTGTCCTAAAGCTGTCTGGTCAGGGGAAACACGCGCAATTGCTGTCCCAGAACAGAACATTCATCCAAAAAGACCAACTTGGGAATGGTTCCTCTTCTCACACTTGTGCTTTTTACCACTGTATTCTAGTTTCCATGTTCTGCCTTCTTTTGCCCTTTTCTCTAGTTTTATTTTTTCTTTTTTTTTAATTTTTTATTTATTTATGATAGTCACAGAGAGAGAGAGAGAGAGGCAGAGACACAGGCAGAGGGAGAAGCAGGCTCCATGCACCGGGAGCCCGACGTGGGATTCGATCCCGGGTCTCCAGGATTGCGCCCTGGGCCAAAGGCAGGCGCCAAACCGCTGCGCCACCCAGGAATCCCTGCCCTTTTCTCTAGTTTTATAATTGAGGATCATTTTGAAATTGCCAGCTAGCTTTTTTGCAGGTACAACTATCTAAAACAGTTGTGTTGGGTAGCCCAGGTGGCTCAGCAGTTTAGCGCGGCCTTCGGCCCAACATGTGGTCCTGGAGACCCGGGATTGACTCCCTGCGTGGAGCCTGCTTCAATCTCTGCCTGTGTCTCTGCCTCTCCCTTTCTCTCTGTGTCTCTCATGAATAAATAAATAAAATCTTTAAATAAATAAATAAATAAATAAATAAATAAATAAATAAATAAAACAGTTGTGTTTTTCCCCCCTCATAATTTATGCAATCTTTAATCATACTTGAACTGATGTATCATCTCTCGTTTACTTATTCGCTCTCAGTCTAATGTCATTCATTCTGTGGACATTTTCCTGGGCCAGTAGAGGTTGGTTGATGTAGGAAATGGCTTATTTCTTCATTTTAATTAATTTCTAAAAGTTTAATGAGTACTTTGAAAATTTTCAGGTCTACAAAATTTTGACTGGAATGCTTAAAAGTTCACGATATTAATGATTTTCATTAAACTTCTCTCTTTGCAAGCCACTTTATTGAGGGATAGTTACATGCTAAGTCGGTAGAAATTTATTTATTAAAACTCAATCATTAATTTTGAAAATATGTAAAAGATGTAAGCAAGTATACTTACCACGACCTACTTTTCATGTGCGTTGTGAAAGGAAACCACATAAGAAACTGTTATTAAATCATTAAACAAATGAGAGTAAATAATTGATGTTAGCAAATGAACAATTTCATAAAGAGCCAAAAAATAGATAAGGCAATCATTCTAAAACTCATTTTGGCTTTCTTTGAAATGGCAAGGATTTTTATTTATGCTTACCTGTTTGTTGTAGTTACTAATGTTATCTTTTAGTCCATCATAATTTGTTTTTCTTTTTACTATGAAAGAGTCTTTTGTTTTGCTCTTAGGCTTGAATCGCCCACCAGGTCCTTGATAATGGAAGCTCCGCGAGGGGTCCAGGTGAGCGCTGCTGCAGGAGACTTCAAGGCCACCTGCAGGAAGGAGCTCCATCTACAGTCTACAGAAGGGGAGGTGAGTTCCCAGGGCAGAGACTGGACCTTTACTGCGGAGAGTGCTTCTCAAATTATATGCAGTGACACATAAAGGACTGCGTCATGAGAGAACTTAAATTATGGAAATATAATACGTCCTGAATATGAAATTTGGTAAAAAACTGATGTTATATTCCTAAAACAAAGCTCCATTTATTTTCTACAGAAAGATACCCATTCAATAAGTCAATTTTAAGTGGGGCATCTAAATTCCTCTGGTTTCAGAATTGGCAGATAAACATAATAAACATCAAGATAATATCAAGAGTGAAGGCAGTCTTTGTTTTTTTAATTTCTTTTTGGGTCTTCCAAAAGTACTTTTTTTTTTTCTGTAGAAATGGTTCCTATATTTCTTCTAAAAGAAAAATGAAACAAAAGTTATGTTACCATTTAGCCCAACTGTTATTCCCTAGATAAGGAGATAGATACATGTTAACATTTTTCTCCCATGTTACTTTACTTCCTCCAAGAATCTCCTGTAAGTCCGTTGTCATTCCTTTAAAGAGCATTGCTTTCCCTCAGTGCCTGCTGTAAAGAACCCTGTCTTCCATCTGCCAGTCTTCCACTGGAATGCCATAGGCACACATTCATTTCATGTACCTTATCTGCTGCTAGTCATGGTTGTGCCAGCAGAATGACATTTTTGTCAATTCTGGAAATTCCTCAGCATTGGGTTTTCTCATATTACTGCTCCCCATTTCCTCTATGGCCCTTTTCTGCAACTCTGAAGAAACTCTGTTTCCATCTCCTTACCTGCCAGAGCTCTTAGTCTCTCCTTCTTAGTTTCTATTTCTCTGTCTCCCGGGTGACTCATTCTGTTTGTTCAGATCTACATGCCCAGGTTCCTTTTCAGTATCTAATTTCTTATTTAATGCCTCTGTTGAGCTTTTGAGTTCAATAATTAGAGGTGCCTGAGTGGCTTAGTTGGTTAAATGTCTACCTTGGGCTCAGGTCATGATCTCAGGGTCCTGGGATCAAACCCCACATTGGGCTCCCTGCTCAGTGGCTCAGTCTCCTTCTCCCTCTCTCTCTGCTCCTCCCTACCCCCAGCTCTCGGGTGGGTCCCTCTCTCTCTTCTCTCAAATAAATAAAATCTTAAATAATTTTAATAATTACATTGTTCATTTTTAGGATTCTCATTTGTTTTTTTTTGTTTTTTTTTTCAAGTCTTCCTGGACATCTTGATAGTTTCTCTTTTGCTTGCTTGTTTTTAATTTTAATTATTTCAAATCCTTATACCAAAGTCCTTGAAAGTCTAAATCCATTGTATTGCTGCTTCTACCAATTAAGTCCCTTAGTATTTTCTTCCTTCTCGTGCTTTTTAAATCTTATTATGAGCTTATAAAGGTCAAGCTGAGAAGAAAAAGAACAGAAGAATAACTTGAGAAAGATGCTCTGGAGCATTTTATGCCTCTTCAGATGTAAAGATGAAGGGAGAAATCAATAGAATCGAAGGAAGATGTTCCTTTCTTACCTTTATGCCACTATTTCAGTTGTTGATTCAAGATGAATTTTAATTACATATTTTGCTTCTTTTTTATAAACAAAATTACTGGCAGGACCATATTAGCATATTAATGGATATTAACACTTAATGATCTAGAAATATACTTCATAATATTGTAAAAGTATATCCTTATTACCTTTCAAGGTTTCTTTCTGCTACAATTACAGAATACAATACTTTGTCTACCACAGCAAGATGGAAATCTTTAAGTATCTTGCATCCTTTTTAAAGAGTTGCTTTTATCATGCTAATCATTTCATTCAAATTATTCATAATGAATCATCCCATAATAAATATTGGTGGTTATTAATCTCTGTTCTGTTCTTATTTATGCACCACTTTACTCATCTTCTTTTATTCAGTGTATCAGCGGAATGAATCCTTGGATTCAATTACAGGTTAGCTTTTAATTCTGAATTGGATATTATGCTATAAATAAATCATAGCCAGAGATTTTCAGCTGTGGTCAATTTTTTATATTAATAACATAAAGACACAGAAAAGCACAGCACTTTATATTGGAATAAAATAACATGTAATTTTCCTAGGAAAAAGTGTGAAATGATATGAAATCTTTCTCCTTGCTCCACTGACTATGCCACAGAAAGGCAAACTGATCATTTACTAAACAAAATAGATAAAAAGTCCCTCCCTTAGACTGTTTTTAAAGTAGTTAAGATCAGGACAAACATAATATTGAGGTAACAAAGTAACTGACAAAATGCATAAGAATGAAATTGCACGCAAAATTATGCAGTGATGAAGATTCAGTCATTTCAGATATAGTATTGCAAGGAATTTCCAATTCTTCACTGAAGTCAACCTGCATCATAATATAGGTGGAACTTTGCAAGTGTTTTAATACCACACGGCCATGCAATAATGCAATAACACGTATGTTACAGGATTGCAGAGGAAGGGGGAACAATTTTTATTTTGCAAATCTATTGAGCTTTTCTATCACAGTGATAGGCCTGATTTCAAAAAGTAAGAAAGGGATAAATGAAATCTTGGTTCAGAGAAGACAGTGGGCCTTGATTTAAAAGCTCAGGCGAGTGATTGGGAGCACCAGGGAGAGTTTCAGAACAAATGGATTCTATGGTTTATAGGACAATACAGAAGAGAAATATCAATTTCAGAATTTGGAAGTTGAACCGTTTCACAGTAACTGCCTTAGCAGAACAGAAGGAGACGTGAGCAAACCCATCAGTTACCGGACTCGGGTCCTTGGACCCAGCAATGGCAGGAAGGGCCCGGACCTAAAATGGAAAAGCACAGGCAAGGCTCCACTGGGGCTTCTGCTCCAGCACCAGGGAGGCAGCCCAAAGCAAAGAGTCCTAGGGCTGACTCTCTAAGGAGAGGGGGGCGGTAGAGTATTTTAAAGAAACTTAGGTGGGGAAAGGGTGACAGGTCAGCCTGTAGAGGTGGCTTGTCTAATTAGCATGCTAAATCTCCACCTGGGCATGAATTTCCGTTTTATAATGGGGGGAAAAGTGGGTGAAAGGTCAGTACTGGGGTCCATCTTGGTGCAGACTGGTTTGCCATGGATTAGGCTTGCTCCTTAGCTGGTGCTCTGCTCTGCAAGAAAAGTGCTAACAGTCAGTAGGGAGTTCTGCAAAAGAGGTGATAATAGCCAGCAGGCAGGAAGGAGTTTTCTAAGTGCACAGGGGCTTGTTCCCAAGGTCCCCGACTGTCTTATTTCTCCTCTGAGAGATTTCATCTTCCTTCTTCTTAAGGAGAAGGAACTAAAGGTCTCAACTTCTGAAACTGCTTCCTGCTGAGCGGGGGCATTGTCCCTCTCCTACCCTAGAGGCACAAATTTTCTTTCTGACTGTTCTACGCACTTCTGGGGACTTGGGTCTTCCTGTAGCAGTATAGGTTGGAATCCTTGTGCCACCAGTAGCTTGTTTTGGAATTGTTGGAGCTTGAATGACACTAACTTTAGTAACAGGTTAAACTGACAGGAACCAAAAATAAGTAGCGGTAGGATAGCCACCAATCATCCCAGGAGAGGGGAAACAAACAAACAAGCAAGCATGAGAGACTGGGGAGGGCACTGTTGATTGTTGACTACATATAGTTAGGATTTGTCCCTTGGTTATACCAATGCAGCCAGGATGCCTGCTCAGAAACCCTTTTTTGCATTTACTTCAATTTTCTTGAGTTAGTTATACTGGCACACCAGGTTTTGTTAATAACAGTATAGGCTCCTCCTTGTTCAGCAAGCAATCAGGTATTAATAAAAGGTATTTCTGTGAAAATAAAAGTAAAACACAGGTTGATGATTGGAGCAAATTATAAACCTAGTTTCTGAGTCCTGACTGCTGCCAGTGAGAAGATCTCTAGATGTGAAGCCTCAAAGCATCCTCAGATAGAACAGGGGCAGGCAGTAGCAAGCTGATGGATTTTTCTGATTTGTAGTTCAAATTCTCTGGGTGGTCTTTTGAGTGGCCCATAGAGCAACAGGGATGAGAATTGTCTATACATGAGCGACCCTGGCAATTTTCTGGAATTTACTACCAGGTGCTCTAGTTTTGGTCTGCAGGACTTCAGGAACAAACAAGAAACAGTTTTACTTCTTAATGATTCCACTACAAGAGAATGCAAGAAGATTAGAAGCCATAGTTTGGAAAGGCTTACCAGATATCTGAAGAAACCAGAAGAATTCAGGATCCATCCCAGTCTCATAAGCAAATAACAAACACTTAAAAGGTAATTACTCAGACTAAAATCTAACATCCACAAAGGGTATGTTATTGAAACACAATTTTCTCTCTAAAGTCACCCTCATTTTCATCAAACATAGCCAAATTAAAACCAATTTGTTTGCAAAACAAGTCTAGTTTTAACAAACCTGACCTAATTATTTACGTAAGTACAGCAAGAATAGTGATTGATCACATAAGTCCTCTTAAATCTGCTTTGCTGGAATTTTTGCAAGGAATTTTAAGTTGAATTTAATAGCCTCTTCTTCAGGCCAGAAGCCAAGCCAGATACTTGCCATTAGATTTGTCTGCAATACCTGTATATTTGGGTGAATTCTCCTTCTTGAGGTCTTCAACATATCCTTAGGTTCCTGCGTCTGTGGAGAAGTGACCTTATTTACTCAACTGGGAACTCTATTAGTAAGGTACCAGGCCAACAATTCCAAAGGGGCTCTTTTGACTCCAAAAAAAGTCAACTTTAGTCCCTTAATGGGGTCTAGTCATATCTGAATCTATGCATGTCTTTCTCAAGTATGATATTCCAGTCAAAGCCTTGGTAGTATAACAGATGTTTTGAATAGTATCGTGTTACAGGGAGAACAGATTCTTGTTGAACTTATGTAAACAATTAATAATTGCCAAGAAAGAATACTCACTGGAAGTTTCTGAATTCTAAAGGGTTCAAGAAAGGAGTAAAGTGCAACACCTCAATTTGTTCAGAAAGGAATATTTTATCAAATTTCTGTAAGTCATAGATATCTCAAGAGA